TGCTTGTATTATCAACTATATGGAGAAATAAATTCTTCTTCTTCTTCTTCAATTGGATTGGACCCTACTCCGAATTCTGTTTTCGACTTATCATTCTTATATTAAGTTAAGAAGAAAAAGAGTGCTCAATTTAGTCCAGAGCAAATAGTTCTAATGATTTGAGCTTTTCATAGTTTTTTTTTCTGTTTTAAAAATTCTATCGTTTTTTCGCGCCATTCGCATTTGTTTTTCGGGAGTACCTACATAATAACTTGGAAATGTACCTATATCACCATAGAACTTCAGTGCATCAACGTTACCTTGTGCTATCCGAGATGCGGTCCACTTCATAGAATGTGAAGAAGAGAACTCCGTTTCCAAATAAGTAACTGAACTGAGCTATGAGCCAGAACAGAGTCGAGTTAGCCTCCAGCTCAGTCCCAGAGCCAGAAGCACAGGAACACGTGATTAGGTTGAAGCCTGCTACCCACAGAAGACTAGTGCACACACCTGGGTTTAAAAAAAACGTGTTAAGACAATACGCAAAGACTTCTTCAAGATTTCTTTCATATTTCAAGACGGCCAAAAAAACAATTATCGAAAGGAGGAAACTCAACTACGGAAAAGTACTGATTTCTCTCATTTTTTTCCAACTTTGAGGTTTCATATCAATACATAAATCACCTCAAAATTTATTAATATCACGACCAGGGGCGGATTTAAGGAAGGCGCGGACGCCCTTCTTCAGGGATTTGATCCCTCGCCAACCAATAGGTGCCACATTTGGTATTATTTTATGACATCCATTTTTGGCCGGCCAACCCTAAAATTTATCAAAAGCGCCTTTTTGAAGAGCGCGCGCCAAAAATACACAACTTTTTGATCAAATAATGCACAAAAACGGAATTTTTGACCTGTTTGTTCAAAAATTTGGCTCCAGCACAAATTTTTTTGTCACAATTGGGTCTTTATATTGTTCTGGAAGCGCTCGTAAAATCAGTTTGGTCAACCTAAATAACTTCGACAAAATAAAATTTTTCGAAAATCCATACAATTTTAGTATGCCATACCATACAATTTTAGTACCCTTTAGTATACTAGAAGTATTTCACTTCCACTTCAAGTTTTAAAAGCAAAATCACTTTGGAAATTTCATGTTTTTGATGGAGAGCGGCACGTCTTAAATTTGCTACATGAATTTGAAAAGAACTTAAAAGGAAACCAAAGTTAAACTCCCAAAATTTAAATTGAGTTTTTCCGAAAAAAAAACACGAGATGAGTCAACGAAAATTTGCGATAAATTACAAACATCGCACGGCGACCGAGCCCGCAGAGAGGAGACTAAGTCTAATAACTTTAATCAAAAAAGCCTGACGAAAAGGATCTAAAATTTTCGTGCGGGTCTCCGCTGAAAACATATCGATAAAAAGCCAAACACAGCCGCAAAATAAGAATTAAAAAATTACGTAGCGATAAGCTTACAAAACTTAGGTAGATGCACCTTGAGCCGAAAAAAAACAGCTTTAGCAGCATCTACATATGCAACGTACCACCGAGATAGTTAAATTTAAATTTCCGATAAATTGAACATGGTAGAAGTTCACAGACAGACTCACCTTTTACAGAAAAACCACACTTGCAATATCACATAAACGTATCATTGCAAACTAGGAGACAGAAATTGAACGAGAAGCCAAAAAGTCGAAAACCTACTGAAAAGCTTCGAGAAACAACAGCTACAAAAAATTGGAATGCTCATAAACTCGAGGAAAATATGTCCATAAACATGTTCAGAAACATTTATCAAGAGGCAATTAAGCCGAAAAAATTTGTGTAAGCTCTAGTTGATCCGAAGACGAAATTTTGTGCCTTGAAAAATTTATATTTGTAACTTACGCTCATCCTTCTGGAAACAGACAAAAAGATAGAAGCTTATTTTTTCGTTCGAACGACGCAAAATTCGAGAAAACATAAGCCAAAACAGTTCAGGCCAAATAAATGTTTTAAGCAAAAACACAACACAATTACAAGAAATTCAGATTTGAAAGATACAAATTAAGGATTAAGTCAAAAACACTTTCAATTACAACGAAAAATTGTTTACAGTACGAAAACCGCGGTATGGCAACTAAGCCGACAGAACAACAGCAGTAATTACAGTTAAAAAATAGTCCTGGACAGATTAAAGCCCAGGTGCTGTGCCGTCCCAGGCGTAGTCGTTAACTCTAGACAAAGGGCCGGAGAAGCTAAAAAGTTTTAAATTATCATCAGCAAAGCTATCAAACGATTCAAATGATTTTAATTAAGAAATTTATTATTTAAGAAATTGCAAACCTGATAATAGGTCTATATTCTGATTTGATTAAGCTTGTTAATGTAAGTTTAATTATACACCTGTTATCACAAGGGTACACAAACTAAGTTAAAACAAGGATAAGTGGCTGTTGGGCAAATAGCACAGAAAAATTTGACTAAACTGATTTAAAAATAGAAACTTAAAAAATGGGAAATCCGAAAAAGTGTCGAAATTTCCTGGACTTTTCCTAGAATTATCGATTGAATTAGGTTGAAAATGCAGTGATTGTAATAGCTAAACTAACGTTAAGAAGGTAAAAAAAATCAGAGGCCAGACTCATCATTTGTCTAATGTCCAAAAAGATTCAGACAAGTTGTTTTCGACAAACAAATCGTTTTTAAATTCAAGTCACAACAGGAAGGGTTTTAAAATGAAAATAGTCAGCACCGATTGTTTTTTTATGTTTTCGACCCAAAAATAACACTTATTTATAAGTAAATTAAAAATGAAAAAAGTACACTAACACGTGCGAACAAACTGTCGCTGGAACGAAAAAAAGTGTGGGCAACCAAGTTGTTCTCTGCAAAGGCAATACAGTTATTTGGATTTAATTCTAATATCTTCAACATAGTGCTTCATTGTGAGACCACAATTGACCCTCTTCGAGCTTTCTTAAAGGTAGTCAATATTCGCTGAAAAAAAAACACATCCTATGCCATGGTTTCAGTGACGTTCTTGAAGAAAAACATTTCTTCAATTTAAAACCAAAACATTCCCGAAATTTAGTTAGCTGTTTACAAGATGTTAATTTGTTAAAAATGGAAGCTTTAGTTCTCTTTCCTTTTTTCACATTGAAAATTATGACACAACAGGAAAAAAGTAATTTTACACGCGCTTAACCATTTCAAAAAAGACCGAAGCATTATAAAATAGACACCAGACAGTTGGAAAAGAGACAATGAACGCAAAGAAACAGAGAAAAAAAACGATTTTCGAAATTCAAGAGCAATTTACTATTGGCACTTTCTTGATAAAATTAGCCCCATTTGAGAAGACTGGATTATTAGGAAAAGTTTTTATTTCGCTGGGAAATCTAAATTACATTCATCGTTCATCGACTCTTAAATGACATTTTAAAGCTGGGTCGTAATGATCGTACTAATGGAGGAAAAAATAAAACTCAGGAAGCAAGTTTTCAAAATATCAAGTTTCTTGCGCATGTGATCTTGAAGCCAAATAGAAAATATAAATCCACATTTTAAAAATCCACTTTCCAACGCTAGGAATCACAAAACACTGCATTAACTCTTTCGTTGAAAGGAAAAACTGATCGAACAAAATTTTTTCTTAACTTGAGCAAGAATAGAACAACTTTTCAGAATTCGAACAGAATCGAGTTGAAAATGTCGTTTTTGAAATTGAACTTCAAAGATTTTGAACATGACAGCTCCAAAAACAATGAAAATTTAAACAGATTATCAGGAACATAATATAATACACGATCATAACCACTTGCTATTTTATTAGTAAAATAGCACAGCGTGCGCGATCCATCGTTAAGGTAAGCAGCTAAGAAGAAATTTTTATTTCAAGAGTTTCATTTCCTCCATTTTGCATCTTCGAGTCTTAAAAGACCAAATATTACAAACCATCTGAGCATCACGCAGCCTTAACGGTCAATTGACGGACTGGAAAAAAATTGCCGGGAAATTGCCTGGAAAAAAAATCTTTTATATTCGGCCGTTTTCCACAATCGAGCTGTGTCAGGTTACTTTTTGTTTACCAAACTTCGTGACACGCACGGGAGTTTTTAAAATAATGACCACCCTTTTAATCATTTTGGGAATGCATTTACTAGAGAACATTGCGTATTTATCTCCGCTGGCTGTAGACCTGCTGCGATTTTGTTTAGATGTCGATTAGAAGTTGTGAGCCAGCTCAGAATGTAGATGGTTGTTTAGTTTACCTTGTCTTCATTTCCATATTACTAATCAGAAAACTTACCAGATAAAGAAGTGGCGACATAGAGTACATATACGTTCGGCTGAATGAACGACGCCGTATAGAGCACAAAACTGACAGACGCGACCAGCAGAGATATCTTATCCAGCAACACTCGCACCAGAAATGGTGCCACGAAAGGACCCAGGGCGAAGAAGATATTGAACAGCATAAGAGTCGTGTAGCCGAATCCATAGCCGAAACTTGAATCTGCATGTGTAGCTTGGTAACTGTTTAACACTAGTTCTGAAGTATTTGCAACGGCGTTAAAAGCCGAATACAGGCACAAAAAAGCAAACCCTATAATAACGGTATTTCGGGTAATGTGATTAAATTGATCACCCAGTGAAATAAGCATGGCTTCCATTTTCATAAATTTCTCTTAGTGAAATCAAACGCAAAAGAATTGCGAGGATACAGATAAGTGAATTTGCTGAGTGAGCAGTAATTTGTCCTTGGCATTAATACTCATAGCAGGTGATGTCTGAAACATTATAACCTATTGATGTAAGATATCCATTTTCGAATGATAATTAAGACCGGTGTAACTCTATTTAAATTCAACATCGTAATTAAATTTCACTCAACTACGCACAATATGGAATAGATTGTTGCCTTTCTTAGTTGCTTTTGATTTTAAGTCAGCGTACTTTTGAACTTTATTTGAACGTACAGGGATTCGACCCCGTTGCCACCCAAATGGTCCCCTTCCTTGGTGCTTTTTCACGACATCCATTTTCGGTCAACCCACCAAAATTTTTTCCGAACGCGCTAATAAATCGTTATTTAAATTGGTCTCCCACAAATCTTCGAAAGCATATTTGCAAATCCGCCCACCCCCGTTATACAGGGCTAGAGGTTTTGCCTTACTAACCGTTATTATAGGGTTGTGTCTTTAAAAACTAGAAAAAGTTTTTTTTTTTAAAAAAACCAGAGAAAAAAACTTTTAAGAAATTGATTTCAAGTTGCTCAGCTCTGGCAACTATCTTCACCTCTATCTATCATTATCAATCTACACGTCATTTGAGCGGCTATTAACACATGTTGCATAAAATGATCTTTTCTGTCATAGAACTGCTCGTTTTTTAAATCAAAACCTGAATTTTAAAGCTCAAGTCTGATTGGCTGAAATTAATTCAAGCGAACGAAAATCTGGATTTTAATTTTAATTGAAATCTGAATAAACAATTAGTTTTTAGTTTCCTTTCGGTGATAGTGAGATGCAATAATTCGATGAAAAACTTGAGTGAATAGAACAAACACAAGGTATCGAGTTAGTTGACAAGCCAAAACTGAAAGTTGGTTAAAATAACGAAGATGTTTTAAACGCGTTTCATTTCAAAAACTGAACCCTATGGAACGACAGTTTTAATTTGTTATGTATCAATTTTTCGGAAAACAGTCAAACTACCACTGACTGTCTTTCTTTTTCATTTTCTACTATTTATGACAAGACCCAGAGGAGCTTCAAGATTAGCGAGAAGCCACATGCTCAAAAGGCGCACTCGCAAGTTCAGCAAAATAACAGACGGTTCAGGCTTGCTGTTTGAGTAGCAAAGAATATTCTGACATGTGTAATTAACTTAACATAAAAGCGACCCGCAGCTTCGCAACAGTCACAATACAATTGAAACATTGCATTACAAGATATTGACTAGAAAAAAGAAGGGAGTCATTTATGCTCAAAAACTAATAGAAAAATGTCGAAAAAAATATATATATAGGAAAAATTCGTATGAGATTCAAAAATGTCTCGGATGAGATTCAAAAATATCCATAGCAAGCATTGAGAATTAATGACCGAGCGGCAACTAAGGCGAAAAAATCTGGGTTGACCCTCGGTAAGCCGAAAACGAACTGTAGTCATGAAAAAACTCAAGCTATAAAATTTTTAAAATAAAAAAATTTACGACCAATCCTTCCTGAAACAGGCAAAAAAACTCGCTTTTGAAACTACGCATCATAAATTATTTAGCTAATATAACGTTAGCCGAACCCGTTTAACCAAATAAAATTTATTAGAAAATCAGAGTTGGTAAATTTACAAACTCGCAACCCCTGAGAGTACTCTGATAGCCCCCAGCTACAGGGTTGGGAACTTCAAATTTTGAATAAAAAATTTCGTTTGAGTTTTCTAAAAAACTTTTTAAAAAATCACAAAAAACGTCATATCTAAGAAACTACAAGGATTTAAGCAGTCATATTTAAATGAAAAACTCGCAACCCCTGGGAGTGCCCTGATAAAGCATCACCAGGGATGGGAACATTAGAAAATTTCTAAATCTAAGTTCTTTGAACAATTAAGAAAAACACTACAAACGTAACATCTCGGAAACAAACGGCATTAGAGCATTCGAATTGGGACGCATAAGTGCAACACGAAACTCCTGGGAGTACCCTCACAGTACCCAACTACAAGGTTGAGAATTTCAAATCACATGAATTTTTTAAAACCCAATTTTTCTGAAAAACTAAAAAGAAATCATAAAACACTTCAGATCTCGAAATTTACAAGCATTGGAGCAAGTTATAATTGGAGGCAAGATACGCAACCCTTGAGACCCTGAGAGTACTCTAACAGCCCCATTACAAAAATGGGAGTTTCAATTTAAAAAAAAAATAAATGTAAGTTTTCTGAACTTTTTTTGAAAAAATCCTAAGAAAACGTCATATCTCCAAAACTACAAGGATTTGAGCAGTCATATTCAAATGCAAGATTCGCGACCCCTCAGAGTAACCTCACAGTTTCCAACTACAGGATTGAGATCTTCGAAACTTGAATTTTTGTAAATCTAAGTTTTTTGAAAATTTCTGAAAAAATCATAAAAAACGTCATATCTCGAAAACTACCAGGATTTGAGAAATGAGATTTGGAGGCGAGATTCGCAACCCCTGAGAGTACAGGGTTAAGAACTTCATATTCGGTAAAAGTTTTTAAAGTTATGTTTTCTAGAAATTTTTGAAAAATCTCGAAAATTGCCGTAACTCGTAAGCTAAAAAGATTTGGTTACTCATATATGGAGGCCAAAATCGCAACACTTGGGGAAGCCCTGAAAGCATCCCAATATTGGGTTCTTAATTTCAAGCTTGGTAAAATAAATGCTAAAGTCAAACCGGAAAATCGATTTAAAAAATCTTAACCATTGCAATATACGATATAGCTTGAACGTGAAAAAATTCTTTCGTTAAACATGCAAAAATAATACGTTGAAAAAGCTTAAACATGGCGAGTTAGTGAAGCCCGCATTTAAATATATAATAGATATTTGAAACAATTATTTACCATCTCAAATGAACCAACAGATCGTTTTAATGGAATTTTCAAGAAATTGAGCATGTCAGTTATTAAGCAGAATTGAGCATGTCAGCAGAATTTTTAAAGAATTTTGTTTGCGGGGAAAAAAGTCTACTTCCAGATTACAAGTCACTTGCTCTCGCAAGTGAAAACAATGACGTCCAGATCACTACTAACAGGGCCATCAAATAATACCCTACTCGATACTCTACAAGCAATCTATCATGCAACTGAATGCGCATAAAACAGCCCACACAATACCACATTTCCATCCACTAAATCACGGTTACGCGTTGAGCATCATTGATGAGTGCATGAAAGAAGCACATAATTTATTCCGGTAAATTGACACTTTTCAATCAGCAAAATTCGGCGAAAAATGATAGTCGGCCAATTTTTTTTTGTCAATTAGAGCTCACGGCGTCGATTGTTTCAAAGAGTAAAAATGTCCATCAAAAACTATGCTTTCGATCATCTTTGCACTGGACTAAATGTCTTGTGTTAACAAAATGGACTGATCGGATAACACTACGCTCGAAAGCACGCTTAAGTAACAAAAAAAAACAATCAAAACTTTCGTTTTCTTTCGATACTAGCAATGTTTTTGAAAATTTATGAAGCAGCCCAAATCACAACTGAAAGATCTTTTATATGACACATTACTCACTTTGCACGGTATATCTTTGTTAATCCACGGTAAACCCTACTTTTTGGCAAAATTCTGGTAAACCCTATTTTTGACAAAACATGGTCAAGTAAACAATTTTATTTCTTCGAACACTAAGCTAGCATCAAAAAATACATGAAAGAACAACGTCAAAGTTATGCAATTTTCTTCCTGTGGTCTTGTCAACCAGACCAGAGACTGTCTCTGTTCCGCATTTCGGTCTGCAAACAGTTATGGCTGTCTTTGTGATATGGATGAACATCACAGCATCATAGTCCTACAGAGTGCGGCCTCTTGCGCATAAAGGAAGGTCTGCGATCAACAGCAGGACTAGCTGTTTCTCTACGACCAGGAGTTGCAATGCGACTCCTAGACAAACAAATACTGGACATTGCGGCTGTTCCTGTCTTCTCTCTTTCTTTTCGCTTCTCCGCTATAACTTCACTTGCACGACGCATTTCATCTTCCATAGCATGCATATCTGCACGCATTTTTCTTCTGTTTTCCTCTCTCGATCTGGTCGAGTCTTTCACTTTGTAGAAAACAGGACCAACTTCTGCAAGCCACAGACCATCGACCATTGTCACACATTGCATGTACTCCTTTGACGTCATTATTAACTCATGGTACACTATGTAATCAGCCGTGAATCCTAGACCGTATAATGAACTAACAGGGTGCAAAAAACAAGGCATGCCAGTTCGCATGTTCACGTATTCAGCATACCCTTTCAGCTTGGCGGCGTTCTGGAAATAAGCCGAGCAAATACATTTTCGAATCACATCCCAATCTGTTCCTGAAGAGTTTAAAGGTAGTTTCTGTTGCTGCATGATATCTTTTAATTGTTCACGGATCTCACGTACCTTTTTCATTGCTTTAGCGTGAACATAATGTTTAACACACCACTGTGACGAGTATGCGTTAGTTTTCCACTGAAGGTACACGTTTAACATGGTCAAATGGTCGCTTTCAGGAACTGCAAACTTTTCACGTACCGCATCACTTTCCTCTTCTTTGCCTTTTGGTCTAAAAAATATCGCGGGCACTGAGAGCATTGACACTATAATTAAAGCCTCGGCACTGCAACCCATATCACATGATACTATTAACATTTTACTCAAAGCAGGATCCAATGGAAACTCGACCATGTGACGACCCAAATCCGTCAGTTCTCCTGTGTTATCTAACGCGCCTAAAATCCATAATTGATACATGGAGTTTAACATGTTATCTTGCGGAGGTGCGTCCATGAAAGGAAATTGCAATAAATCTTGTACACCCAGACTTTTCAGTAGCAGAACCACATTAGCCAGGTTGGTTCTTTGGATCTCTGGAATTGCACATGCAAGGAGTTCATCACGATATGCTCTTTCAGTGTACAATCTCCAGCACTGTCCAGGACCCGTTCTACCGGCACGTCCTGACCTCTGGTTTGCGTTGGCTTGACTGATTGGGAAAACTTGCAACGCGTCCATACCTATTCGTGGGTTATAAACTTTAAGTTTTGAATACCCTGGATCTACGACATACATGATTCCATCCACAGTCAGTGACGTCTCAGCTATGTTAGTGGCAACAACGCACTTCCGAACACCGTCAGGCGCTTTTTGGAAAATTCTAGCTTGCAAATCAGTGGGCAGCTGTGAGTAAATCGGTAACACGGCTAGTGGCGGCGGGTCGTCTAAATTTGTCAGCCGCTCGTTTATTTGTTCACACGTTACCTCAATATCCTCTTGACCAGGCATGAATATCAAAACATCTCCAGGTGGCGCTCCTAAGTGGATTTGAATAGCCTGTTTTATAGCTGCATCGACATAATCTTCCACGCAAGTTTTACTGAAAAAAGTGTCAACAGGAAAAGTTCGCCCAGGAATTGTATAAACGGGAACATTTCCAAAGAAACTTGAAAACTTTTCACTGTCCATAGTAGCTGAAGTCACAATGAGTTTCAAATCAGTTCTACGCGCGCAAACTGTTTTCAAGAGGCCAAACAGAACATCCGTATTAAGTGACCTTTCATGGGCCTCGTCCATGACTATGGCACTGTAACGGTCCATATCCGGTTCATTAAGAGACTCTCTAAGAAGAATTCCGTCAGTCATGTACTTTATCACAGTTTTTTCACTTGTGCAGTCTTCGAAACGTATAGCGTAGCCGACGTCTTCGCCCAACTCGCAGCCCATTTCTTCACTTACACGCTTTGCCACACTCATTGCTGCTACACGTCTCGGCTGAGTGCACCCTATGGACCCGAATTTACTAAAGCCTTCCTCGTGCAAATATTGAGTCAACTGAGTTGTCTTTCCAGAACCAGTTTCTCCCACTATAACTACGATATTATTCTCTCGGATGATATTAATGAGCTCCTGTCTGACTGCGTATACAGGGAGATATTGTCTCTGTTCTTTCATTGATCTTCGCTTTGCGAACTCGCTTACAGCCTCTGTTTTGTCTTTCATGTGGTCTGCAAACTTCTGAGCATCTTTATAGTTCACATCATTGTCCGTTCCGTCACCTAAAAGGGAACAATTAAAATATCTTCCATTTCATAACATCGCCAACGGATAATTGGAAGTGGAACCTGATCTAAACTACATTTTATGATTGGATAAATTAGATATTTTACCATTGTAAAGTATTTAATATTAACCAATCATGATCCATCTAACTAACAACCCACTTATTTGTAAGTGCTGAAATTACTTGTAATTTCAGCACCAGAGAGATTTGAATTTAACTTAGAAATTAGTTGACTCTCCAAGCGAACTTCAGCAGCCGCAATAAACCAGTATACCCTAGATCTATTGAGCCTAGCAGAGACTAGTTAAACAACCTGAGACTAGATAGTATAAGAGTAAGATTAGGATCGGTATTAGACTAAGAAGTTGCACGAATCTATCCGGCCGAAAATAAGATAGCGTGACGAGCAGACGGTGTACCCTATCCGAAATTACTCTATGAGTTAACCACCTCACATATAACTCATCTGGTGCGACCATAAGTCTCGAACAAGACCTTAAAAGCTTAGAATTAACCAAAAATAGATTAGAATTTAGACAAAACATTTTTAAAATGTTATACGACGATAATTTAATCGAAATGTCTCTACGACTCAATAGATCAGAGCCAATATTCCGAACGATAATAGAACTACCCGGAATTGGAAGAATACTTCGAACCAGAGACGACATACGACAAAGTAGAAACTTACCAAATAGTTATATGATAGTACGGCAAAAGCCAACACAAACTTTTATATTTAGAATTTTATTAGCAATGAATTTAGATTTTCATTTGCAAACTTAAATCTTGAAGTCAATCTTCATGCTCATTTCAGGCGCTAAACAAAATATTAATATACAATAACGATTGATAAAAATATCTCAGATCGTTTTCCTAAAATTCTGCAGTATTATATAAAACATGTTTGGAAAATATTTATTGAAAATCAAAATAAAAATTAGTAGCATGACAATAAACTGTTAGTAATCATAAAATCATCAGTTGTCTCAGCTTCATCACCTAAAACATAACAGCAATCATAAGCTCACTAATATCATTCAAACACTAAATCTTTTCTTAGACAAATTTAGACCATTTTAAACTTAAATTCACTTAATTTTAAAATCAGATCATCAAGGCTTATCCTTGGATCTTAATTCATTTTCTATTTAATTAAATTTTAAAACTTGATCATCAAGGCCTCTCCTTGGATCAAAAAGAACAATTTTGTTCTCCCCCACCCACTTAGCCAGTGTCTAACGACCTCAAACGTCGATTCACTATCCAACCCTTTCGCAAAACCCAAGACTAATAGAAATTTTTCAACAAAACTAACCATTCAAATTAGGATAAACAGTGAAGAACTTCGGTTATTCATCCTTCACTTGAACCCTCCTCTTACCAGACCCAGGATAAATCGTAGACTTAGTAAGTTTAAAATAGTATCTAACGAACTACTCGCGTTCTAATTATACCTGAACCTTGTGGATCGATTTACTATTCTCCAACCCTTGAACACAACAACCCTTAAGTAAGATTAAGTAAGTTAACACCTTAGCTTATACTAGCCACGAGAAAGTAAAAAATCATTCTTCGGAATCGATATACTTTTCTCTCCAACCCTGAACAAAAAGACCCAGGTTAAGCTAACCAAAAAATCGTAAGGACTAACAATTTAAGAAAATAGAAATCATCTAACAACTTTTTGCATCCGTCATCCTAAACCTTATGTCATTTAAAAATCTAGGAAACAAACAAACAATCGTTTTGCACAACTGTGAAATAGATAACAAAAAATACGACCTTGTAATCACACCTCACACACAAACAGTTGGATATATTAGAACAAAACGACAAACACTAAAAAGAAAAATAATAACTAAACAAAGACAAATAACACGAAAAAGATTTTCCAAAAATAGAAACGCATTCTCAGAATCAGAAGTCAGCAATTTAGACGAACTTTATAAATTAAAAGAATCTATAGAAAAAAATTGCCCCATTCACGATCAATTATATTTTTCCGACTCAGAAACAACTTCAAATTCATCGAAAAGAGGAAAAAGAAGAATAAAAAAGCAATATAAACACAAACCAGTACATTTATATAATTGGAATCAACCAATTAGACACATCGATAATTACCTATTAACAGTCATTAAACGAAAAAATGAGCCAAACACACACTCCAAGTGAAGATAGTCCAGACGATGACGATATCTTCCCCTTCCTCGTAGATGCACCTAATGATAGAGGACAGCATATACTTTGCAAGAATTTACTACTAAATTTATTTGAACCCGGAATCAGCCCATGTAAAGCAGAGTTCCCAGATGTAAAGATCAAAAGACAAATTATTGATCACTATCTGAAAGATATATGTAATTTGACACAACACTACGGAATCTACACCATAGAATTCACCTCACCAAACCCGAATCACAGCAAATATGTAATTCAAACAGACGACCTTGATTTAGAATTTTCAAAAGTATTCTCAGAATACATAAAAAGCATACAATATCATAACTCACAAAGAGCAAACTCCATATTCACTAATGAAGTTTTTGCCATAATATATAGTTATATCTCAATATTAGAGAACGAAATTCCAATCCCAAGTGTCTCACCGACAGAGACATCCAAACATATAAAAGTACGACATGAAATCACACTAATTTCAACTTTTCTACATATAATTAAAGAAAATTTCACTAAAGATGATGTTTCACAACATACAAAACATGACTTACAAAAAATTTTGGCATGGTTTATAATAGATTATTTCACACATAATATAGATTTAATTTCACAAGCAAGAAAAAATTTCAGACCTCAAAATTCAAACGATGATACCGCCATCACAGAACAGTCAGACTACGTTTGGGACCCCGAATGGTCTCATTATGCATTTATAAATATCCCACAATCAATTGCAAGTCAAGCAATAAGTACAATATCTTATACCAGAGATTATGTAAGAGTAGTACCATTAACAATTGATGCAACACCATTAAACTACAATACATTTTTACCCGATACGCGAAATAACAGCTTAAACTCGACCGTCATACACAATGAAAACCTTAATGGAACTAGGAACCTCACTCAACAAGATATTCAAACACCATCACACTTCATAAATGAAGAAATTGTACAAACAACAACAACTACACAACAAAGTATTTCACCAATACGTCCAAATTTAACAACACCAAGAAATACAAACACTTCACAAGCACAGGTAACCTTACAATCAACCGTTAAACCTTCGGTTGCTCCAAAATATTCACAAATGGATTATCAAACATATAGACCCATGACAATACCGTCAAAAACACGCAGAACGTTCACAAGAAACACTTTTGCGGAACACAATTATAATTACGCACATTCATCAAAAACAAACTATCCCCCACGAAAAAATAATAATAATCAGATAAGATCTCGATACTGGGATAACCCAATGGCAACAACCAACTCAGTAAATTTTCAAACTAATTCACATCCTCCACAGGATCGTAGTGAAAATTACCCATTCTTTCAACAGAATAAAAATAAAAAGCAAGCATCTCATCAAACGGATTATTTATCCTCTGATGATGATTATTTACAACCAGATATATTTGCACCATACACTCAAGAATATCGTGGACAAGGAGTACAAAAACCGTATACATATCATAGAATTTTTTCTCCACACCCAACAGATACACAAAATCAACAACCAATGCAAATGCAAAACCCAATAAATACACAATCTTTTCAAACAATTCAGCCACAAAACCAAATGATTACACACTCGTATCAACCAACACAAATGCAAAATGAAATACCACTTCCATATTACCTTCAACAACACGAAATAACAAAAAATCAACTTTCGAATTTTTCACAAATGCCAAATGCAGCAGAATCATTACAAATGACAATGAATCCATACCTTATGGGTGGATCATCAATAACATCAAACAAACCATTAATGGTATTCACAGGAACAGACCCTGAATATTCTGTAGAAGATTATTTAAATGCAGTAACAGCAAATTTAATTTTAAATATAGGACCTGAACCAATTAATACGCCACTACATCAAAATTGGATACATCGACGCACAGCGTTGATACAGACAACCCTAGACGGCGCAGCCCAAAAATGGTTTTCAGTATTACCTATAGAAATAAAATCAAATTGGAAAAGATTTACACAAAAATTTTCAAAAATGTTTGACTCCGAAAGAAACAAACAACAACAAAGAGTTTTATGTAATGAAATTCGCAGATTACCAAATGAAACCATCAAACAATTAGCAGTACGTATTGAAACACTAGTTCGAAAAGCATACTCACTAAATACACACGACTACAAAAACACAAAAATGACAGAAATCTTAATGATGACCTTAACACCTCAATTAAGGAAAATAGCAATAAAAAAGAGAGCATCCCATCCCTCCTCAATTCGAGAGCCCGATTTAGATTTTCGAAAACTAGTAGACAAACTAGAGCAAGCGGAAATCACAATGAAACTTGAAGAAACAGAAAATCTGAAATTACAATATGTTAACCGAATTGAAACAAATACCACAAATATCAACAATATACAGGAATCAGATACAGACCTCGTTGAAAAAATCACTGAAATACTCAATATTTATGAAAAACACCCAAACTTTAAAGGCAAACCATCTTTCAAAAAATGGTGTAATTATTGCCGACGATACGGACATAGCATTTCTGAATGTAGACAAAAACAACAGGACAATCAAAACAAACCTCAAAAATATAAGGAACCAAATAAATCATTCTATCAGTACATGAAAAAAGATCAAAATCTACCGAACAAAAATGTATATAGCAACAACAGTTCAGGAAAACCACTTCCGAACAATACCAATTACACAAGAACTCAATCACCATATAACTCAAGTTATAGAGGAAGATCACCAGAACGAAGAAATACACAAAATTCGTCACAAAATCATTACAATAGACCAAATAGTCGAAATAACTA